CAAACAAAAATTGGATTCAAGCCATTACTAAACAGTGAAGAACAAATAATACTGAAAGTTTCATGACACCTTCTGAAAAGAATTGTTTCTTCAGAAAACTAATTTTTAGAATAACATGTGAATGATGGACAAGGATACCACACTTTCACAAATTTGCCTTGTGCCTCTTTGTTTTCCAGTATTTTTTAATTTTCTTTTTTTGAGAGAGCCAAATTCTATACTTTTGACATCTGAGATAAGATTTGCTACTGTCTTCCAAAAGGATGTAATTACTCTTTGACTGCTCCGTGTAATATACAGGTAGATGCCAACTTATGACAGTTTAATGATAGTTCAAAGTTACAACAGCCTTGGAAAAAGTGACTTAGGGTCTGTCCCTGAAGTTATGACCTTTTTACTAGCCCACAGTCATGTGATCGTAATTCAGATGCTTGGCAACCATTTACAACAGTTGCAGCATCTTGCAGTGATGTGGTCACAATTTGCAACCTTCCCTGCTGGCTTCTGATGAACAAATTCAATTGGTAAAGCTGGATTCAACTAATGACCATGTGATTCACTTAATAACCCCATGATTTTCTTAACCACCACAGTGAGTCACTTAGTGGTAAAATGGTCATAATTTTAGGTCTGGTCAGGGGATGACTTGCTTAATGATGCATCACTTAGTGATCAAAATTCTGGCCCTGGTTGTAGTCATAAGTCAAGGACTACCTGTACTGATATTATAACATAAACACAATATGACAAATAGCCATCATAATTTACCTTTTCTATCTCAACCCCCAATTGGCACTATGGAATTTTTAAAATTAGTTTTTGGTACCTTCTAATCAGTGTTGATTTTTGGCAACTGTCTGGATGGCAGCTCCCTTGGCAGGGTTTTTTGGAAGGGGTTTGTCACAGCTTCTTTCCTAGGCCTGAGAAAATGACAGTCAAGGTAGCCCAGCTTTCTTTGTGCCCAAAGTGGGACTAGAAGTCACACTCTTCTGGTTTCTATCCTGGTGTCTTAACCTCTATACTAAACTGAATCTCTCCTGTGGTATCTGGCCACCTTCTTTTCTGTAGGACTCGTTCAGCTGCCTTTGATTTTCCAAACATCTGGGTCTTCTGAGAAGTTTTGGTTTACTTGATCTAACATTGAATAATTTGTTTTTCTTGCTATCTAAGCCATAGGAAAACAATGTCCATGACAAGGCATATTTCTGTTGTTTGTGCCCTTTAATCTTTTGTCTAGATCTGTCATAATCTTTCTCCCAACTATGGAAAAAATATGGCTACAGTTTCCATACCTGTGAACTTTAAAAGTCTAAGAAGGTCAGGTCTGTTTCTACTTTAGCTTCTTTGCCTATCTGCAGTGGGTTGGCTTTGCTGTTGACATAATTTTAGTGTTGTGTGTGTGTACATATGTATATATGTATATATTGTATCTATACACACAGAAGGCTGACATTTACATCCTGTTCCTTAAATCCTCTTCACTTCAAGTCATCAAAATGGTATTTGTAATATATCAGAAGTTGATGCTGTTTCTTCTAGCAATTTTAATTACTACACATTTGATATATAGTATTATGCGAATAAGCTAAATAAAGTGACCAGATATAAACATGATGTACTATTTTCCCATATGTGAAGTTTTTCAAAATATGCTCCACATTTTGTTCTGTTGTTTCTTGATCATGATGTGGCTCCATATACCCATGTTTTCTTCAGAATGAAAAAGCTACTTAGATAAGCAGCAAAACATTTCAAACAAACAAACAAACAAACAAACAAACAAACAAACAAAAAAGAAGTCCTGTATGACTTCTAGACTAAACTTCCATACAACTCTACCTTGACTACTAAGAAACAGCTAGCAGTGAGCTGCAGCTGCCAAAAAAGCCAATGCAGTCCTAGGCTGCATTAACAGAGAGATAGAAGCAAGATCACATGAAATATTAGTACCACTTTATAATGCCTTGGGAAGACCACACTTGGAATACTGCATCCAGTTTTGGTCACCATGATGTAAAAAAGATGTTGAGAATCTAGAAAGAGTGCAGAAATGAGCAACAAAGATGATTAGGGAACCCGAGACTAAAATATATGAAGAAAGGTTGCAGGAATTGGGTATGTCTAACTTAAGGAAAAGAAGGACTAGGGGAGACATGATAGCAGTGTTCCAATATCTAAGGGGTTGCCACAAAGAAGAGGGAACCAACCAATTTTCCAAAGCACCTGAAGGCAGGATAAGAAGCAATGGATGGAAACTAATCAAGGAAAGAAGCAACCTAGAACTAAGGAGTGAGAACAATTAATCAGTGGAACAACTTGCCTCCAGGTGATGTTCCATCAGTGGAGATTTTAAAGAAGAAATTAGACCACCATTTATCTGAAATGGTATATGGTTTCCTGCCTGAGCAGGGGGTTGGACAAGAAGACCTCCAATGTTCCTTCCAACTCTATTATTCTGTTAAATCTTCATTGACATATCCATACTTCTTTTTCCACATATTGGTGGAGTCTGCATGGCAAAATCTTGAGTATATCTTACTAGCAGGTGAGATTAGGACATTTGTTCAATTGTTTGTCCAAACACTCAAAAAAATAAGAGTAAGAATATACACATATTGAATTAAAGCAGTTGCAGTTATCTAGGTTCAGAATAAGGGTAACATAACAGTCAAGGATTGTCTTCCATTTATTAGTTATGCATTCAACTGCAGGATAATTAATATAAATTTAATTGAACTCATGCCCAAGATTTTACTGGCTAACATCCAGAAGTCACATTAGAAATTGGACTATGCTATGTGCTAACTTTTAAGACTTGCTAGAGCAGGAAATAAACGTTATTTGGTCGTTATGCTCAGTGCAATCCTAAATTAGCTTCTCACATGTAAATTCTCATTAGACCCATTGGGATTTCTCTAATGAGCTCAAGATTTTCATTATTATTATTGCTGATATTTCCAAGCCAGCTTTCCTATCATTGTCTCATAGAACTCATAGAATCATAGGGCTAGAAAGGATCTTGGAGGCCTTCTAGTCAAACCCTTGCCCAAGGCAGAAGAACTTAGCCTCACCATCCTGGAGAAATGGCTATCCAATTTTTTCTTAAATTTCTCCAGCGATGGAGCACTCACAACTCCAGGAAGCAAGCTGTTCCATTCATTAATTGTTCTCACTGTCAGGAAATTTCTCTCTAGTTTCAAGTTGTAACTCTCTTTAACAAGTTCCAAGACAATATGTGAAATGCCAAACCATGCATTCTCTACCGGTTGAGAATGTTGATCTCAGATACCAGGGAGTCAAACTGACAAGTGCTACTATTAAGTTGTCATCAGGAAAGATTCTGAAAGACAGATATGCCAGGCAAATGTTTTGATTAGAAGTGTCAATGACCCAAATAAGAGGCACATGTATAAAAGAATCTTAGCAAACAACAACACAACCATCTTTCTATTGTGCTTTTTATTTAAAAGATCCATCAAGAAACTTGGCTAATAAGTATCAGGTGAGAAAGCTATCATTATAAGAGATATTTCAGATATATTGTGGGTGCAGTTAAATACATATAGCCTGGTTCTATACACATTTACTTAAAAAAAGTATTATTAATGTTCAACAAGGCTTACTTTCTGTTTTTGCTATCTCCAACTTAATTGTCTCCAGATGTAGAGTAAAACTCCCAGAATCCCAAGCCAGCAAAACCCACCAAATTGTGAAGATTGTAGTATTTTAGGAATTATTTTCTTTTCTTTTAGCCAACAGGGGGCTCTTGCATATTTCATGAAGCCAGTTTAAGATAAACAGAGGCTTGTCAACTAAAGAAAGCACAAGATTTGCATATTATGGACTACATCCTTATTCACAGTGCACTGAAGGAAAAGGCAATAATGATAGCCACGCTTATCACCAAGCTATCTTTCCACCTGAACATTTCCTTAATTAAGGATAATGATTTTTATGACCTTCATTTGAAAGGACGTTCCATTAAAAGTCACTGAAAGTCATGCTCAGTATTAATCGCTGGGCAATACAAGAAATTGATTAGTCTGCACACTTAGGAAGAACTTAATTGGAAATGTGGGTTCACCAGAGGTCTTCACCCTAAAAACCACTTGTTGCACCACCAAACCATACAGATCTATAGCACAGGTCTTGTTAGGACAGCTTAATCTTTGGGCACATAAAGTACACAGATGGACAATAAGCAATAGGAGGAAATGCTTTGTTTTAAACTCTGGGAACACAACTGGCTTTGTGTACACGTAGGATAGTGCTAGCTAGCAGGAGTTTCCTGATGTGGCAATGCTGCCGAGCCAGAAATACGTTAGACAGTATTGTAGGTAAGGGAGAAAGGATTTAATTCAAAGAAAACTCTCTACATCCATTCATTTTACCTAATATATTCTCATAAGAAGGGCTGTACTTAAAATAACTTTTTTTAAAGAGTTTTGAGATTTGTATAGGTGACTTAAACTGCAAAATGTGTTTAAAAAGAAATGATTTAACAACCATCCCTAGCTGTTCTTTGGTAACATTTGCTACCTCTCACTGCTTCTGTTTCTTTTTTAAAATCTAATTGATTCATAGAATGTCTTTTTTTAAATAAACTACTACATAGAGGAGATACTCTGATCTCTGCTTCCTTCTCCATTCATCACATTTTTGCATATGAAGACATATCTACTCTTACTTTATTTTTAGCACATTTGTTCTGATATAAATATTTAGATTAATAATTGTCACCTTGTGCTTCCTTATTTAAACTGCTACCTTTCCTCTTCCAACTTCAGAATTCAAGGATTTCTCAGTATGGTTGTCCTGTTTATGAATAGAACATGGACTTCCACGATCTCACTGGTAAATCTAAAAACAGAATCATTCACTCAAAGATGACAATAATGACTACTGCATGAGTTAACTATTTTTCTGAGCAGAGCAAACTGCGTTGGAAAAAAAGCCCCCTCAAATGTAAAAAATCAGTATTATGCTTAGAAATGACTTACCGCCAGACATATGATGAACTAGGACAATCCCAAATGCGATGAAGACAAAGTGAACATTCATGTTTCCTCATATACCAGAAGTATTGAAAGTGATAGTGAGTGAATTGCCAAGGCTATTACTACCTCCTTCAGACTTACAAAGAAACTTTGCTGCCCCACCCCTAACAAAGTGTAAACATTGGCTAGAGTTAGTTAGGGATTTTTGGAGTTTCCAGTAGGAAATAAACCTGTTATTATGTTCCTTGATATATCATTATCCATCTGAAGCATCTTTCTGTGACCTACCAACAATCTTCTTCTAGCATCATTCTTTCAATTAGAGATGCTAGAGCAGTGGTGGTGAACCTGTGGCACGCATGCCAGAGGCGGCACTCAGAGCCCTCTCTGTGGGCACGGGTACCATGTCCTGGAGATGGCAATTGTCCCTATTCAACCAGCCGCCTGCTAACTTGCCGATGTCCCACGTGGCCGGATGCATCCTGGCACAGCTGGTTTCCTTCCCCCCCCCGTCCCGTTCCTCCTGGCCTCACATGCTCTCCTTTTCCCAGGCACGACCCACTGCATCGCCTCCTCAGCTGTCAGCCGGCCATCCAGCTCAGAGGCGGCTTCTTTGAACTGCTGGCGGTGGGCTGCGGAGCCCAAGTGACCCAGTTGAGGGACCAGCAGGCTGTGGCTGCTGACAGACATCGTCAGCCCCCATCTGCTCGCTGACCTCTGTGTGCGGGCACCAATGGTGTCAGGCAGCAGCCGCCCTTGCCTTGCCCCATGGCAATGGCACCCTTGCCCTGCCTCGCCTCACTCCACAGGATGAGCCTCCTGCCATCGCCCCACCTGCCAGAGACACCCTGGATCTCCCCCAACTCTGCCCCGCCCCACAGGTGTCCCTCCCCATGAGCAACATTGAGGTGACCACACCCACCCAATCTGCCATGACCACCACAGCCATGCCCACCCAGTGGGCTACGCCCACCTGGCACTCAGCAATAAATAAGTGGGCTTTGGGTTGCAGTTTGGGCACTCGGTCTCTAAAAGGTTTGCCATCACTGTGCTAGGGACTGAATCTAATTTCAAACTTCAAGTCATGTCTATTTTGGCTTCTTAGTTGCTAAGAAGTTCAGTTTACATCTAAGGTAGAGATTGCTGCAGTAGCTGCAAACTCTTGTGAATAGATCAAGACAGGCCACAAATATCCATTCAGTTATCTGGACCAATTCAATACTTTAGTTGTAAAGCTTGGAGGCCATTTGGACAACAGCTGGAGACATTTGCTTTGTTAGAGAAAAAATGTATTGGGAACTAGATACTTGTGTAGCTGAGTATATGGAAGTTCAATATGAATTATAGAACTATATGAGAAAAAAATGAAAGAAATAGAACATTAAGATTGTTTATTTTCATTTTTTATAAATTTTATATTAACAGTATTTGGTCCAACTCCTTGACTAGTCAAGAACATTTATTAACTGTTTGAATTATATACAAACATTATATGTAGATTTCTAACCATCATATAACAACAATATTTTTTCTGTATAGTACTTCTTTTTTCATATTATATTGAGCAGATCAACATTTTCCTTTGTTTCTGGATGGTTGGAGGGATCAACACCATCTGGAACTTGATGTGATGGAATGTAGTGGCTGGATTCCAGGAGGGAGGGGGGTACATTCCAGAGGAGTAAGAGACAACTCAGTTCAGATAATTAGTCTGAGAAAAAGAGGGTGAAGACAGCCCCTCCCTAGTAGTTCATATAGTAATAATAATCATGTAAATAATAGTCTGTTTCAGTTTGGCAAGATTCCGTCTATAGATATAGAACTATAGAGAAATCTGCTTGAAAGAATATTTCTGAACGGAATTCATTCAGCCACATCTGTAATGTTGCTTTTACTTTGGTACTGCTTTGGTTCTGTGGTCCCAGTCATCCACAAGCACAGTGATGCCCTAAGATCCCATTCATTGAGAAGAGTTCAGTTTGTGATAAATATGCAAAGGGTCAGTGCTGTGGTTCAACGGAGATCCTATTTCTGAATTTCAGCATGCTGTTTATGAGATGTACAACATCAGCATTATGTAGATACTATGTCTTCTTAGTATGAATATTGTCATATTTTTGTATACATTGGATAAGACAAGAAAATGGACCAAATAATTGCAAGATAATGCAAATTATCTTGCAAATATTATTGTCAAGTTGAAATAAATCCTCATATCTTAGTTCTGCCAGAGTAACGTCTGTTCTCCAGGTTAACTTAAGGCCGGAAAGCAGCAAAAGGCATCATACAGGTAGTCCTTGACTTCTGACCACAATGGAGCCTGGAATTTTGGTCCTAAGTCACTGCATAAGTTGAGACACCGTATCACTGGGCTTGATTTTACAGTCATTTTTGCAATGTTTGTTAAGTGAGTCATCACAGTCATCAAGAAATCCAGCATATCCAATGGGGTTTTCTTTACATTTTCAGTAGGAAACATGACAAGTCGCAGGCATGTGATCTTGGAATGCTGTAACCAGCTGTAAATGCAAGGCAGTTGCCAAGTACCAGAAATATGATCACATCACAGGGGAGCTGTCAATCATAACTTTGAGGATTGTTCTTAAGTCTGTCATGACTTCTAATTTCAATATTAGGTTTTAATGCCCATTTTAAAAGAAAGCTATATGTGTTGCCTCCAAAAGTTATGAATGCTCCAACACTGGAAGTTTTTTAAAAAAGATTGGACAATCATTTGTCTGAAATGGTATAGGGTATCTTGCCTGAGAAATGGGTTGGACTAGATGACCTCCAAGGTACCTTCCAACTCTGTTATTCTGTATTCTGGGCAGCATTCTTGCCCCACTTTGAATTTGTGTTCTTTTAATTAAAAACAAGGAGTGTTTCCCAACCTTGGATTATTTAAGCTGTGTGGACTTTAACTCCCAGAATTCCCCAGACAGAATTTCCCAACCAGCCAGTCCCCAGTCAGCCAGTGTTAAGAAACACCACTGTAAAACAAAAGGACCATGCTCTATGTATCTCTTTTTTTCTTCTTCTTATAAGAAATATGTATTATGTATTAAAGGGATGCTAAAGGGGACTGCAGGAAGCAATGGATCAGTTTATAACTGGATAGATGGGACAGTTTGTGATTGACTATGATTTTCCTTAATTAACAAATAAATAGAAAACAATTGCTGTTTAGTGGAAGTGCCCATATCCATTACAAATGTGTCTGCTGATTGCTTTCCCTTGCCCCATGTGGCTTGACTTGAGACCCCCGTTCTCTTTCAAATACATCATCATCATCCCTTCCCCAGTTTACTCCATTTCAGAAACTTAGCAGGCTGAATACAAACAAGACTTTTCAGTAAGGCTCTGCACACCTGAGGTTCTTTTTCCAGGGAAACTATAAACCTTACAATATACCTCTCTAGTGCCGTGTCAAGATTTTGAGATCTGCCCAGATCTTGAAGGACATCACTTGAGCAAGCTGGAATTGATTGATATGACCAAGTGTTTTATTGTTTTATGGTCCTTAAGGCTTATCATTTCTACCACTGTTGTATGTTTCAAATAATGCTAATCTGTTCTGTTGTACTTTTATTGTTTGGAGTATGTTGATTTCAGAGACATTCGTTGATCTGTCACATTCTTCTTTGAACATTTTTTTACATAGAGAGCAGAAGTTTCAAAAAAACAAAATGAAGATATTCTCTTCTATTGATATGTTCAGAATGGCAACATATTGCTTCTATTGATATGTTTCAGAATGGCAACATATGTACCAGGTCAGTGTGTACACTCACTGAAGTAGATTGTTGACTCAACTTATCATCTAGTTCCTGGTGTCTAATTTTATCAGTGGTTAAATCTGCCATTGTGCCAGCATTATCAGTTCTGATAGGCAAGGGAGATTTGCTACCCAGAGAAATATGGTGAACGGCTAGCAATCTATTCTCTTCTCTTTTGGGAAAGGTGTTTAGATACATACCAGAAGGAGGGAAGTAAGTCTCAATTGGCTGAAAGTTGTCTGGGTTCTGCTGCTGGCCAAATAGGGCACTACCAAACTGGGGGTTTGGTTGAATTCTGAAGAAACTATAAACATATCTGTCCTGATCTCCAAATATAGCAGTAAATAGTAAATATAGCTGAATTAGTCTCAAATTCATATTAAACTAGATTCAGAAGAATGAAAGACAGACAGACTGGGACAAACAGAACTTATGAAATTGGGGGAAATTTCCTCAAACATTTTAGGCTGTCTTGAAACTCTAGTAGCAAATGGAAAATCAGCTAATTACTTCTTAAATGGGTTTCTTTCAAGAATGAAGGAGCCACTGATCTTTTCACTTGAACTTCAAAGGTATTCTTTCTCCAAGTTGACAGATCCTTATATGAAATGCAAATAAGTACCAGGTATATTTTTTCCTGCTCTTCTGTAAGGAGATTAATTGTCCCAGGAGATCCATATGGAGAGAGGAAGGTTGAAATTAAGATCTGGGAAACCCAGCTTTTCCTACAGCAATAATGGAATAGTGATGTATTTTCCTGGACCTCTTTGCTCCCTCTGTATTTTTGCTGCTGGCTTCTACTGTATAGTTAGTAGTATAGAAAACAGCAGGATCAGGCTGTATAAAGTGTAGTCAAGGCCAACTTTGTGTGAATAGGGTGTCAAATTAGAGTGGAAATCCTTTTACTACTATAAATTATGAATAAAGAAAGGGTCTTAGAACATTTTTTGAACTGAGTATACATTGTTAATATTTCCACTATTTAACAAGAGTTTTGTACTGGACTATAATTTCACATAGAAGCAAAAATTAAAATCAGATGACTAAATGCTAGATTATTTAAGGCCACAGGATATAATACTCTGTTCTAGAACAAACCAAGAGAGCACAAAGTTTCTAGCCCTTAGAGCTGTGAAGTAACACCAGGCCAAAGATTCCCTAAAAGAGAATTCCATTATAGAAACTTTTGTGCTCTTTTATTAAAGCAGAGAATCATACAGGTAGCTTCAACTTACAACTTTAGTAACTGTTTGAAGTTACAATGGCACTGAAAAATGGAAATTCTAGTCCAATTGTAAGTTGGTTGTAAGGTGAAGTCTACCTGCATGCAGGTGACTTCTA